TTTCCCTTAGCATACTCTAATCAGCTGGGGTGTCAAACATGCAGCCTATAGGCTGTATCCAACTTGCAGAGTCATTTCATCCAGCCTACAGGTGCCCAGGAATTTGGGGGCAGGGCTTGCCACCACATTCCCAGTGACAGATCTCCGGTGGGCCCGTTTATCGGTGGCAGAGGGTAAGCACCCTCATGCCACTGCCCACGCTGCCACCATCACCAATGCCTTTTGCCCTGCCTGCACAACAGTTCACCCCTTGCCCTCCACCACATCACTGCCACTCCTGGTCTGCCGGATCTATATCCAGTTCAGGAGGCTCCTTGCAGTCCAGAACTACCCCACAGAAAACTTCACAATCTGGTCGTTGCCCAGGGCACAGGTGCGCTTGATACCCCTCATCTAATGCCACTGAAAGAAACAAGATACTGGGAAAGTTGACCCTATGATCTGACCTAGTATGGCACTTATATTCTTATGCTCTTAAAAGACTGAACTTTGGACAAAAAATATTGCATTTAAAGAGTCGCTGGTCCCACAGTGTTATTTATTACTATTTGAAACAATCAAATGTATTTCATGTTTGATCACTGAGACCAAAGGGACATTTTATGACCTGCTCCTTCAATACATTGAGCATTTGATGACAGAAGCTACAACCTTCTCAGTTCTGGTACTATCAGCAAGAGTTGCAGACATTCAGCACTTATTCTAATGGAGCCTTTGATTATCACTGATAATAATGTTTTCATTTTTATTTATTAGAGGAAGAGGAGTACAGGAGGAACAAAAGTGAGCAAAACATTCCATGTATAAGTCTTTCTATCCATCATGATACTTCAAATCCCAGTTTGTCTTTGAGGGGATAAAACTAGCATTCTGGCCCATCTTATATATCCATACCTATACAGAAAAACATTATTGTATGTTGGTACTGTTTCTTGACACTTACCCTCCCATATCTGTTAGCATAGGACCCTGTAAGCAAGGAGTGGAAAATGATGATCGTCTCATCCAAATCCCAAATGAATACTCTCTGTAAAAAGAGAATCAAATTAATGTGTTCTTTTGTAAAGCTGATTTGGCAATTTAAAACTTAAATCAGTATATGAACAAATGAGAACACTTTATTAAAACAGTCATAGATCATATGCAGATATTCTGTTTCTCTTGGTAGACACATGAATTATGTACACATTCAAGTTTTTTTTCTCCTAGAGCAAAAATGGCTGCTTCAGGAGAAAAATAACCAAGGAACAACCAGGATTAAAACATTCCTCAGAGAGCTTCTCCTGGGAGACTGAACATCTGCAAACTTTATCCAGACTTAACTCCTCCCTATAAGTGGAAGGAATGGAGCCAGGGGAAAGGCGCCTGTGCCTTATGGAGGCCAGTGTCACCAGTCTGGAGAAGGCACAGGGGGCAATTGCTCTCCCCATCTGGTAGACCAGGAGCAGAGGGGAGGAGCAGCCACCAGCTGGTCCCTGCCTGCTTTTTAGTGTGGGGTTCCAAAGCAGGATGAGGCAGAGAGATTTTGCTGCAGCTGCAAGACTCAGTAGCCTGCCTTACCACAGTATGCTCAAGGTCAACTGGGCAGCACAGGTGGCAAGAGGAAATTAGAGGAGCTGCAAGCTGAGTGGCTCAATGGCTTTCACCAAACCAGACTCTTGGCCCCTCTGGCTTTTAAACTGCTGCCCTCACCACCCAGCTGGGGAAAAAAGGGGAAGCTGGCACTGACTTTCCAATCACTGCTCTTTCCACCCTCACTGCTCAGCTGAAAGGGAAGCAGGCAGAGAGCAGCCAGAGGGCAGCCACAGGGGTTGGGAGTTTAGCTTGGGGAAAACCTCCACATGTCCACCTCCCAGTCCCTCCAGCTTCCTCTTGCTGCCCATGCTGTCCAGCTGATCTACAGCAAAGCAGGATGAGGCAGTCTACTGTACCACAGCAGCGATGCTCAGGAGCCTTGCTGCCATAGCAAAACTCCCCTGCCTCACCCTACACCGATCTGTGTCAGCATGGGATGAGGCAGGCTGCAATGTCTCTAAAGCAAGGCTCTCAGCCCCTTGCCACAGCAGCTAAGCACCCCTGCTCCTTTCCCTGTACTCCTCTGTGGCTATTTTCCTGCATGGGAGAACTGGGAGGCTTCCCACAGAAGAATGCCCCCTTCCTGTCAATCAGTCAACTGTGGAATGGGGCGTAATGGGGTGGGGGGGGCAGTTTTCCAGGGCTGGAATCCTCCCTGGCTATCTGTGGAACCTGCAGACTGCCACTGGCAGCCCCTCACCTTCCCAGGAAGGGGAGAGGAGAGGCTGTCAAGTAATGGGCTGCCTAAGAGCAGTGGTGGCCTAGGGGGCAGACCTCTAGTATCTCTGGCTGGAGAGCTTGCATGTGCAGTCCAGCTCCCAGGCTATTTTTCTAATGGAAATTTCTTCTGGTAGAAATTAACATCTGTATGCAGCCATAATGTATTTTCAGAAATGCAAGTTGGTCCTGAACAGTCTAAAACAGTCTTTTAGTTTTCTACTATAATAAATTATTCTATTAAGAAAAAAAAATAGTAGACTGTATTAAAACACATGCAGGGGAAAAACCCATGAATTGTAAACTTTGAAATTTAAAATCCAACTGTCAGGAAAATCTGAAATACATGAACAAAGCAATTCAAAGTTATGACTATTAGATTTTAATTGCCTTTTTCTGGTTTAGACCACAAAGTAAACATTTTCAGTAAACTGCTTTTCAGTTTAGTCTCTGAAAATAAAGGGGGGGAAATTTACAAAGTACTTTTTTTAGGAGTTTAAGTCCACTTTTAATGGATTTAAGCATTTTGAAAAACCTTACCTATGGTAAATTATGTATTTGCAGAAAAATTCAAAAGCCATTCTGTAAATATTTCAGAACCCTGAATATACAACCTCTCCCATAATGTATAACAGCTTCAACTCTTGGGAAAGTGAAATAATGTATTCTAGGAGTCCCTGACTCTGAGATAGTCTGGATAGGAAGACAAACTAGAGAGCAAGATCAAGGCATAAAGCAAGTGAATAATGACTGTTTTGCTGTGCCAAGTACCTCGTGTACAAACTGAAACATTTGTGCTTTTGTTGTAAACATCTTGGTTTTCAGACACTCTTTTATCAAATCAAAACAAATTTAAAAACTCCAGGGAAAGTTGATGTCTTTTCATGCAAAAAAATTGTCCAGCTGAAAATTCAATTTTCCGCTGAAAATTCATTTAGACAAAAATAGACTAGATCTATTGCCACTGCATTTCTCAATTACAAATAAGTACCTGTCTTCAAAGAAATGATATACATAGCAGTTCCCACAGCAAATAAAGGGTATATAACATACCTCAAGGTCAGAATCCGGTGGTGGTGAAGGGTTATTGTTTCTTCTGCCTCGACCACGTGATTTTCCATCAGAACCACGACGCAATCTATCTGAATCAGAGTCTTTAATGGGCGTCGATGGACTGTGGATTGTACTGTACTCTGCTGCAATAGAGAAATAACTTTCACCTTTGTTTATAAAACATAATGTTAATTTTAGTTTATTTCTTCAGATCTGGCATTAAAAAATGTCCATAGAAAAGCTTTGGGTACACCGACTATAATTAGCTTAAACTAATGACCTGGAAGCATTAATAGTAATACATAAACAAACTAACTCTACCAGCTAGCAGCTGTAAGTAATCAAAAGTAATCAAATTTACCTCAGCCAAGAGACAATAACATTGAAAAAATTCCAGAAAATCCTCATGCTTCCAAATAATCAAACCAATCTTTTATCCTCTCCTCAAATCTCTTTCCAACAATTTTAAGCTTGTTGTAATTTGAAACACAATTTTTCAAAATCTGTCTAATATTACCATCAAAGTGACCTGTGAATGCAAAAACTATTGTTGCAATCAATTGCATTTAGAAGACTAATATTTAATTTTTAGATCTTTTCAGAATTATAAAATTAATGAGGTTTTTTCCTTCTTATGGCTTCTGTTTGGTTCAGTAGAATCCTCTTCATGTAAAACAGAGACCAAGAGCCCTGAAATAGTCAGGATAGGTCTAATTTAAAAGTTTAATCCTGTTTTATAAATTGAGGAAATTTGAAGTGTTCTTCAATGACCTACTCAACACTGACATTTTTTGAGGAGTAATTTCAAAGTAGGATACAGATTTTTCTCCAACATATATGATCAGGGGCAGATTCATAGCGGATGCAGTGGTATGGCTATGCCCCACTTTTGGACTGGACTGCACTGCAGGGGGTTCCAGGCACTTTTTAAAGTTCCAAAAGCAGGTGAAAATACTCTCTCTCTTCTCCTTCCTGCTCAAAGAAATGCCCTGTCCCTGCCTCTTCCTCTCTACCTCACTGTACTAAGAGTGGAGAAGCAACAGAGCCTGCTGCACAGGGGCTGGGGTCACCTGGGGATGGGGACAAAATGAGGCCCCCCACCCCTTGGCAGGGGGAAAAAGGGCCCTTGTAATGCAGAAAAAAATCTCACTAAATACACTGTCTATCATTAAACTCCTGCCAAAAGCAGCATATGCTTAGCAAAGGAAACCAACTATGAATTTGATTAAACGCAGCTAACACTGAACTTGACTATAAAATACAAGGCCATATTGGGCAAACATGTTGATAGGAACCGTGTGTGTGTGTGTGTGTCCCTTAAAAAAAAAAATAGTTGTTCCCCCAGGAGTGAACAAGCACCAGGCCTGGAGATACTGCAATACCAGGCCAGCACTGAAAGAGACCAGAACAAGCTCCGACACTCTCCCTGGTGCAAAAAATCCTGATGGAAATCTACCACAAGGATAGATCAGTGAAGCCCTCTGAATAAGATATATGCTAATACCCATTAAGTGCAATCCCCCACACTGCCAACAATTTTTTCAAGTCATGGTGAGCCACAACCTCATGCTCTCTGTTGCCTTCTCTCTCAGACTGGTGCATATGATTAGTGGCTCCGCTCTCTATGATGTAAAGCCAGACTGGGCTGCTCTTGTCTGCATATACATTTTTGGAGCATCCCAGTACTTGTGACAAGAACACCTGGCTCTAGTCATGAGTGGGGCCTAATTAGCACATGGAGGCTCTGTGGGGGTGAAGGGGGGGAGGTATCTGGAGTATACACACATTCTGAGCAGTGCTGAGTTGTGGGGTCACCGTGGAGGGTACGGCCATACTAATCATATGAACCAGGATGAGAGGGCATGACAGAAGGATTCTGGGTGAACTGTATGCAGTGTCATGGCTCACTATGGCTTGAAATGCTGATGACTCTGGTAGGGCTTAGTCCAATGAACTATGTGGTAAATCATGAGCCTTTTTGCTTTGGACTAAGTACCATGCATAATTTATATTAGATATAACTATGGGCCAAAGTGATGTTCAAAAGTGTGTTCATGGAGTACCTATGCTAAAACTTACAGCAGTTTCAAAAAACAGGTAATTTGTATCAATTCTGGATGAACTAAGTCTATGGGTACTATATGCAAATTGCTACAGCCATATTTAATTTCAAAGTGATTGTTTTCATATTTGCTTCTCACTTTCACATGCTCAAGAAGAGCAGGGTCTGACAGTAAAGAAAGGGGGAAGGGGCTACTAGGGAAAAAGTTGGAGGGAAGCAGAAAGCAAAAGGGCTACTAACCTTCCAGTTTTATTTTCCCTGCTGTAGCAGTGGGAAGGAGACAAATTCAAGGCAAACCTCCAATAATTAGATTCTATACCTAGAAAATTATAACAAACTTATAAAGATTCCATATACAGAATCTAATTATTGGGGTCTTATCATCAGGGTAGTCTTTTGAGTAAATACAGTACATGGTGTTTTCTGCTTTAGCACGGCAGTGCTTGCATCTGGCCCATGAATAACTGGATCCATCCCAAAGCACACAGAAAATCAGTGTCAAGCAGCTTGGCCTGGTGCATCTCCTACCCTGCTCTCAGCCATGCCACTGAGTCCCTCTGCAACCCTCCCTGCTTTTTCCTCTCCCTTCCACAATGGCAGTCACTGCTTGGTCTCTCCTTCCCCTCTTCCCACCTCCTTACACATGTGCTTTAACTATACATAAATGCTCTTCCTTCTTCCTTTCCTTCCCTCTGACATTGGCAGCCAACTCCCTGCCAACAACACTGAGGTCCCAAACACTGTTATGCAAAGTAAAATAGCCTATGCAAATTATTCATCCCAACAGTTTACAATCTGGTATGCAATTTTGAACCTCTTTGACATCTTCTATTTCAAAATTCTAATTTCAAAAGAAAAAACTGCTTTTTCATGGCTAAAATAAAGAGATGTCTAAATGTTTCTCATGAACGAGTTAGAATTTTCACTATGTAACAATACATATACTGAGATTTTTTGTGAACATCAAGCTTCACTGAAAAAAATCTTCACTCTTTCAAGCTTAATAATATTTTATGCTTGTAAGAATAGTAATTAGTTAAATGCAGCTGTTTATCTGTATAGTACTACAATTTATTAAATAAATCTGGCCATCCTCTCTCATGTGAGTTACATTGAATTGAGAAAAATTTC